CCGTGAAAAATCGAGAAGGAAAGAGTAGAGAGAGAAAGTAGAGAGATAGTCATAAGGGCAAAAACGTAATTGGGGGGCGGTGATTAGTAAAAGGGGGGCGGTAAATAGTAATACCCAGAAAGAAACCATCAAATCTTACATAATTTTTTAAAATCATTTAATTTGTTAAATTTACCATGCATATAACAATAAGGAGTCCACGCTAAGAACATCAACATTGCAAAATCTGTAAAAACTCTCCTCATATTATGTGATTTAGGCAATTATTTTATTAATTTACTTGTAAATCATTAATTTTAATTAAAATAAATTTGAAATGTCAAGAGGCAAAACAGTCATTAACGCGAGCTTGGGTATTTTTAACGGGTGAGTGGATAAGATCCACATAATGTAAACGATATGTATAGTACATTTTTTATTACTACAAATATATCACGTTATTCACACCAAAATATCTAAAACGCATTGATATGCACGTTATGAGTTATGATTTGATTTTTTTTATTTTGTTTTGAATTTTGTATATATTTATGAAAAATGCTACTGTTCTGTTACGAAATCATTCCGTCAGAATTTATAATCGTCATGAATAATTGATCTAACGACTACAAACTCCGACGAAATGATTCCGTTAGAATTTTCCTATATTTATATTTAATTTTGCACTGTTTTGTGTAAAATATTGTCTCGTTACGGAACTATTCAGTCGGGATTTGTACCGTTAGATCATCATGTAACCGTCATGGATAGTTAATCTAACTGTTACACATCCCGACGGAATAGTTCTGATAGTTCTGTAACGGAACCGTAGAATTTTCCTTTAAAATTATCTCCACTAGTTTGAAAATATCTCCACTTCGTTAACTTTAACGGTGCCCGTCAAAATACTGAAACAATTTTAGACGGCAAAAAGCCCGTACTACGGTGGTGGCCGGTGGGTGGTGGACCACCTTGCCCCTTGGAAAAGCGTTAAAACTTAAAAGGGGGAGAAATAAAGGACACTGTAAACAGTACAGTCACACTCTTGATAACGCCCTCCACACCATATATTCCCTGCGTGCAATCTGCATTTCCTTATCAAAACTTCCATTTTTTTTTTCTCTCTCTAAACCGAGTGTGCGTTTTTTTGTATGGCAGCTAATTTGAAGAGCCGTGGACTGGCGAGCTTGGGGAAACGATTTGTCGGCCAGATCCATTCTCGTGATCCAGTTTCTGCTGCTCCTTACACTCTCAGGTGCGTGTATTCTCTGTGCTTTTTGCAGATACACTGTGTGTGTGTGTGTGCGCGTGTGTGTGTTGAGCTATTGCTTAGCATTTACTCTTGCTTGCAATTTGCATCATATGATCGTAGTTTACTGTTTACACTGGTCACTAGAAGAAGAAAGAGGCTAATATGTGGATAAATTTGAACATATGTAGAGCGATTTGTTGTAATTTCAAATGTTCTATGTGTGCCTTTTGCAGATACTGTGTGTATGTGTGTGTGTTTTGTACGTATACTGTGTGTTTGTTTTGTTGAGCTACTAATTAACAGCTAACTTTACAATAATTGCATCATATAATCGCAGTTTACAAGTTTCACTAGAGAAAGAGGCTAATCTGTGAGTATATTTGAAGTATATATGCAGAGTAATTTGTTGATTTTTCAGTAACATCGTCATTGATTTTGTTTATTTTTATTTTTTATGAGACAATTTTGGGGCTTTTTTATCTGTTTTGAGATCGATTACAGTGCTCAGCTGTTACCTTTGTTTATACGGACTAGGATTTTTGTTTGAAATTTGATTGGTTTCGATTATAAAAACGTTCGCCCAAAAGATTGTTTGAGTTTGTAGAATTTATTGTGGCCAGTTTGTTTTCAGAGTAATCGATCGAGGAAATATTATCATTGTTAGTAATGTAGTGATTCTAGGCATGTACATTTTCATTTATGGAAGCTTATGGATGATCATGGAAAGTCAAATGATCCCCATGAAAAAGTTATGTGTTTAGATGCTCTGTTGATTAAAATCCACAAAATATTATTCCCCATTATTGTGGAAGACTGGATTTTACATATGATAAAAAGTTCATTATTCATTTTATCTATTTAAGGAATATTGAATAATTTAGGCACAATCATCCAAGTTGATATTTGTAGTTACATGCAACTATATAAAAGTAGGGTAGTTTGGATAAGAATTGAAAACTTTCAATATTATTAATTATCCAATTTCCATGCAACTTTTCCAAGATTATGTTAGGTTTTGCTTGATCAGTTAAAGTTGAGATGGAAAATCCAAGTGGTTTTTGCTTTTGATCATCATATAAAATTACAGGACAACTTTGTTGACTATTAACAATAATGATCAAATAATAAGTTGTGGTAAAGGAGGTCATAAGGTAATAAAAAACTCATGAAAAGTGTCATTTAGGCATGGACTGGGTACTCTCACCAGCTATCTTGAATAATAGATTCCCGTCATTTTAATGAAATAGAATCACTTCAGCCTACAGGACATTTGTTACCTCATACTTATGATAACAACCTTTAGAATATTTGCTAAAAACTGTACATAAGAAACTTTCGTCTGTATAATTGGTTTTATATGAGATCCCAAAGGATACTTTATCATTATTGTTATTTTCATTTTTATGTTGCGTTTTCTTGATCGATATTTTGGTGTTAGTCTGAATAAATGCACGTGTTATGTGTAGAACTCGATAGGTAGTTTATTTAATTATCTCCATTTGCTATTTGTTCAAATATGTAGGAGCATCCACAACTCCACTTACGACAAGAACGTGGACGAAAATACCCACTCGACCGTGGTCCCCGACCACTTGATGCCACCGCAGGTCGAGGAATATTGGGCCCCACACCCCAAAACCGGCGTATTTGGGCCTTCATCTGACGACAAGCAAAGTTTGGGCCTGGACTCGGGTGGGTACCCCAGTGCAGAGTCGGTGTTGGAACAAAAAGCTTTTTTCCGCCCGCTCGAGGATTTGGAGAAGCCACAGGTTCAACCTTAAACGAATCGTAACTCTAAATAATAGTTCACATCTTTCCCTATTGCAATAAATAAGTTGGAGCTTGCTGAAAGGTTGTGTATTCCTGATGCATTGTGTCTCTAGTTATGAAGACTTGTATGAAAACCGATGTAGAATAAGCAATGGTTTGGTTTGTCATGTGTAAATGGTATGAGTACCTATTTTGTATGTTGGGGAAAGGTGTTTTCGTAATGCTATGTTGTGGTGTGCTTAGGTCAAAAGTGGATTTTAGTGCTTTCAAGATTGGTCCTTTAACTAAGTACCTAACATTCATCTTAATTATTACTGAATCGATCGGCTGTTCAGATTGGTTCAATCGGTAACTGGTTTGTTGATTGGCTTGGTTCATTGGAATGAATCAGTTGTCAACAGAACAAAAGAGATAAATCTCAAGATGTCTGTGTTTTAATTCTCAAAAGTCAATTGAACATAATGAAGGAAAAGAGGGAGAATAAATATAGAGTCCTCATCCCCCTATTTACCTATCTTGCCTAATAAAAAAAGACTAGATAAAAATAAATATTCACCTAGCATACTAAAATAACAACTAATAGTAATAAGAATAAAATAAAAGAGAAATAAATAATTATATAAAAGTCGAAAGTCAATCATGTTTCTCCAATAAGGCAAGCGCAATCTCGTCTCCATCATTCTTCCCCGGTTGAGAAAGATTTGCCTTTGAATTCGACTCAGTCTCGTCTCCGTCGGAGTTGCCATCAAGAAACGACACCGAATGCTTGACGTTGAACATGTAGAAGTGCGGATGTGCAACGAAGGCGGAGGCGGTAAGCATTTGAGTTGATCTTCTCAACGAGCTTGACCAATCCAATCTTTCGGGCGAAAAATGTATTATACTCGTGTGCTAAAAATCGATCTTTCGTCAATACCGCCTAAACATAGTCACTCACCTCAAACTTCACATGGCCACGACGAGCATCTGCCTGACTCTTATATACGATTCGCTGCCTCCAAGATTTATGTGTTTGCCGATCGAATATAATGAAAGAGGGATAATAAATAGAGTCCTCATCTCCCTAACTAGTATTCAATTGCAAAGAAGGAACCAAAAATTTATATATTATATTAAAATTTAAATATTTGTAGTATAATTTGACATACATATCTAGAAATAATGAATATATGTAAGGTAGTTTTCAATTTTAATTCATAGTACTTCCATATACAAAATTCATTAGATAAAATATTATATATATTTAAAAACATTAATAAGTTAAATATCAATCCAATTGTTTTCAATTATCAGTCCCACCCGTGACAAAATAAACGTTGCTAATTCTCTACTTTGATCAGTTGGGGCGTAATTGGATATGAATTGTGATCCAACTCAACTGGTTATAACCGGTTGAGTCATTTCATATCCAAATCACTTAATTCAAAATCCAACACAACTCAAAATAATATCAATAAATTATTCTTACACACCTGACATCACATCAGCTTTAATTCAATATTTATCAGTTCGTATAATTTTAACTATCTCAATTTATTCGCTCTCTTGCTTTTACATAATATCAAATTTAGTCATTAAAGTTTAAATAGTATTTAATTTTAAATCTATTTTATGCAAAAAAACTCACTTTAACTCAGTAAGTACCATAACCGATTTAATTCATATTCAATCTTCTCCTTAGCTAAAGTTTTGTTTTTCTCCAATAATATCCCACATATTATAATCATTTTGGCTTTCTTTTACCAAGGAAAAGACAATAAAGGAGTAAATGGTAAAGAAAACGAATCCGAATCAATCTTATCACTTGAAGCAATGAGAGGTTGAAATTCAATATAAATTTCACGTCATCCATTTTTTCTTTGGACTTCTGTTTGAAGGCGAGGAATGAAAGAAAAGCACGTACCTCGCGACCAACACATCGAATAATACATCACATTTTAGAAAAATACTACAGTCCGTTACAGAACTATTCCGTCAAAGTTTGTGATCGTTGGATCATCATGTAACCATCGATGATAGTTGATCTAACAGTTACAAATCTCGACGAAATGATTTCGTAACAAACCGTGACATCTCCCCATCTCCCCACATTTTATGCGTCCCTTTTTATGTTGGGTGTATTTGATACCTCCGAATTAAACTAAAAAACAAAAGGGGACAAATCACAAAGGGAAAAACTTTTTCACCCCATAACAAAGATACAATAAGTTTTTCACACCGTCCAATAAAAAGCTAAGTTTTTCACCTTATAAAGTGCGAAGGTTATACGAAAACTGTCGCATATTCATTGCATAACTGTCCATATGCGAAGGTTATGCGAAAAACTGTCGCATAACTGTCGCATATCAATTGCATAACTGTCGCATATTCATCGCACAATGCCTTCGCACAATTATGCAATTGATATGCGACAGTTATGCGACAGTTTTTCGCATAACTGTCGCATATCAATTGCATAACTGTCGCATATTTATCGCACAATGCCTTTGCACAATTATGCAATTGATATGTGACAGTTATGCGACAGTTTTTCGCATATACTTCGCATATGGACAGTTATGAGATGAATATGCGACAGTTTTCGCATAACCTTCGCACTTTCTAAGGTGAAAATTTTAATTTTTTGTTGGGCGGTGTGAAAAACTTATCAAGACTTCAAAACGGAGTGAAAATAGATATTTTCACAATCACAAATGTATTACTGTTGTTGACCTTTCATTGAAACGGAATTTATTTGGTACGAAAATTGACCGAGTGCGATGAAATCATGAACCGAAGCATTTTGTTTTTATTAAATTGTAATATTTTAAATTAAATTAAGAAAAACACTTATATATTTTGGTTTAAAAGCATTTGTTATTATTTAAAATTATACAGCATTAAATTTTTTATTTGGATATTTTATTCAAACAAAAAATTGTCCACGAGGGGATCTACTATTTATCCAGAAGAGGACTATTATATTACCAATGCTTTTATTCAATATAAACCAAACCACTTTTATTATCTTTATTTACATATTTATTTCTATTATATTATATATTAACAATATAGGCAAAGAAACAAAGAAAAATAGGTTACAAGTTAGAACGGAAATCCGTTCACTTCACAATAATTAATTGGTTCCATTAGGGTATATTTACCTTTGAAAATCACAAGCAAATTAATTTTTTTAATTTTATTTGAAAATAGAAATTTAAACACAACTTTGTAAAACATAAAAAAAAAAAAAAATTAAAAAAAAAAAAAAAACTTTGTAAAACATGATTCCGTCCAAGACTCCAATTTGATCGAGTTATTCGATTGTTGGTCTTGGACTGAAAAGTGGGCCACAATGCACTACACTAATCAAATGGGCTCTATAACAACTATGAATTCATAGCGGCCCAGAAACTAGTTAAACCTGTCAAAGACCTAGGGTTTTATTTCTCTCGAGCTGTATATAAAATCCCGATCTTCATTTCTTCGCAGTCTGAAGCCCCGTTACACTCTTCGTTCTGCAAATCGCCGGCGCAGACAACCTTAACTCCGAGGTATCTATTCTTCTTCTTCGTATTAGACGATTATTCCTTGTATTCACAGCTTTAATAGAAAGTCTAGGCGATTGAATGTGATGTTTTTGTATGTTGCTCTAATATGACTGAGTTTTAGGTGGTGTATGAGATAATTGAATCTGATTCCTTTGTTGTGGGGAAATGTGGCCTGTTCTTAGATTTGTTTTGAGAAAATGTGGCCTTTTTTTTTTTTTAAAAAAATTTTTGCACTATTGGTAAAGCTGATTTTGTATTTATTTATTATTCTTAATCGACGTGCGCTTTTGGAATTGGTGCTCTTTGTCGTTGTGACTGCGTGAATCGTGTGATTGTTCTTCTTTATCTACTTTCGAGTTCTATCCTGTTTTTTAGCTGGGTCTTTTGTTGGTACCTGTTGTTCTATGTTTATTCAGTGGCTTTTGTTAATGATCAATGACTATCTTCGATACGAAGAGAGAAGAGTTATGTTGGCCTTTCTACACAAATTTACATGCACATTTCGTGTTTATGAGTTTTGGCTGCAGCTTGCTATGTTTCAAGTTCAACTTGTCTACTGTTGATCTGCTTATATATTTAAGCTGCCTTTGATATGTATATCTGACTGGTAACAAAGTCCACCAGTGAGATGGAGAATGTCTGAGTGGATTGTTTGCGTGTTACACATTACCCGTAACTTTTATACTTATGTTATAGTTGATGTTTTTTTTTTTGGTTATTGATTTGCTTATAAGTGAAACTATTGCGGTCTATGCCATCTGGTTATATTTTTTCTGTGGATTCATGCCGAACTGTTCATCTTATTAGTTATATGAAATGCTAATAATTCATATATGTCTACTTAGGTAAGCCATGGTGAAGCACAACAATGTTGTGCCCAGTTCCCACTTCAGGAAGCACTGGCAAAACTATGTCAAAACTTGGTTCAACCAGCCTGCCCGCAAGCACAGGAGAAGAGTTGGTAACATTATCTTCTGATATTACCTTCTATTGTTTTTATTTATCTCGAGCAAAACGTAGCATACGTAATTTCATATAATTCTTCCGACGGTTTCCTTTACAGCAAGACAGAAGAAAGCTGTGAAGATTTTCCCCAGGCCCACAGCTGGACCACTTCGTCCTATTGTCCATGGCCAGACCTTGAAGTATAACATGAAGGTCAGAGCTGGTAGGGGATTCTCTCTGGAGGAGCTGAAGGTGAACTTTGTAACTTTTGCACAATTTCGGTTAATTTTTATTCTATCTTGTTGCTATTTGTCTGTGTATAGAAAAGCTGTTTGGTTATAGTATTTATTTCACCGTCTTTTTACCTTATGCTGCTTTTTATGTACAATTTTTTTATTCAATAAGTTTGATTTATGTCTCCAGGCTGCTGGAATCCCGAAAAAACTTGCCCCAACTATTGGCATCTCGGTTGACCACAGGCGTAGAAACCGTTCCTTGGAGGGTCTTCAGACCAATGTCCAGAGGTTGAAGACATACAAGGCCAAGCTCGTTGTCTTCCCGAGACGTGCACGCAAGTTTAAGGTAAAATTTGAACTCTTCTCCATAAGGATAATCTAAAATCATGAAAAATTGAAAAATTTACATTTGTTTACCAATTTTGTGTGTGCAAGGCTGGTGATTCTACTGCTGAGGAGTTGGCTACAGCTACACAAGTCTCTGGTCCTTACTTGCCGATTGCACGTGAGAAGCCAACTGTTGAGCTCGTTAAGGTTACTAATGAGATGAAATCGTTCAAGGCTTATGACAAGCTTCGCCTTGAGAGGATGAACGAGCGTCATGTTGGTATTAGGGCTAAGAGGGCCGCGGAGGCTGAGAAGGAAGAGAAGAAATAGTGAACAAAAGGGTGTGTAAGAGAAAGTTCATTTTTCCAGTTGTTCGGTAGTTTTGAACTTGTTTTGTTACACCTTTTGTGCTTGCTTGAGGTTGAATCTGAACCTTGAATTTATCTGAAATTTTGTTTGGGATATTCACTACCAGCATTTGTCTGTTCAGTGTATGGATTTCTATGAATCATTGTCATCGTTTCGATGTGTTTTGTTTGTCTTCTTTTTTTTTTTTTTCAAATGCTTTTTGCTTTTGTTGATTATTAGGCTTGTTTGGTTGATTATTACCATAGGGGATGGCATTTTGGGATGATGAAATTGAATCATAACGACATTGAAGAAAATTGAAAGATGATCTAATAGTGATAAAATAGGAATTGTGAATATCGTTACAACCTAATGAGCTAGGTTGGACAATTAGTAAATATTTCATTTTATTTTTGTAAGTAACCTTTAAATATGAAATTTCCAAATATAATAATTAAGCTTCATTACAATGTGTCAATGTACCATATCTTCATCTTAAAGAACGGGGCTTATACATGTCTTATTTCATGAGCTGTCCCAGAATATTTGACATCGGCCGACTGTAGCAGTGGCCAATAAGGTCCAAATGTGGGATCATACTCTCATGTGTAGTTTAGACTTTAGGCTAGTAAAATGTCACCTCATATCAAAATTATTCATACTGACTATAGCCCGTAAAACGCGGCACCTTGTGCGTATTAAGCTTTGGCATTCAATAGGAACTGGCGTAGATATACCTTTTCAACAACTATTCATACTTTTAAAATACCACACCCTAAAAATCATTATAAATAAAAGTATCGCATTTGATATCACAAGTATGCAGTTGTTTTATAAAATGTTTGATAAGTCGACTTGTCTAACGGTTAGACCGCCTCATATAAAAATGTATGCAAAATATTTTGTTATTATTTAATACTATCAATTAAATCGACTCTCTACATTAGATGATTGAACGTGGAAGAAACAATTATTATTGTTAGGCTATATTTGGTAAAAAAATTCAACTAGTTTATTTGAAAAAATACTTAAGAAACTTATCAAATAAGCTTGAGCTTTTAAAAAAACTTGTTCTACCAAATAAGACTTATTTGGATACAGGTAGCTTATAAGTTAATCAAATAAGTTATAAGCTAGCTTATTTGTCTATCCAACATAACCTTAATATTATCACCCTCACATATTTTTCCCTATTAATTATTGTTAAATTTATTAATTTTATATTATACTAAGATTATATTATTATTTTATGATCATTCACAATTTTTTTATATTTCTTTTAATTTTAATGTTTTCCATTTTAACCATTCAATTTTTGTTTAAGAAATAATTCAACATCCAATCACAATTACCTCATGAAATAAAGTCTAAACTACACATGAGAGTATGATCCCACA